AATTTATAGCATTAGTGCTAATATATATTTAATATAGCGCACATCGCATGATATTTCTATTAGTAAAATATTAAATATAGTGTGCGGATATTGCACATTGTTTTTATAATTAATGTGCGTGATACTCACATTTAAAATTTTTTTATGTTCACAAAAGTAAAGTTCATGTGCGGAATAAACATAGCGCACTTTAATTTTTTTCACTGAGTTGGAGTGAGTAAAAGAATAGCTCAACCCAACCCAACCCATTAACAACCCTATCTACAGCAATATACTTTTCATATACTTTTTTGCTTATCGACAAAATTCATAATATTATATTATACAATTTCCTTTATATTGATAAATTTTAGTTTAATATAAAATACATCATGATTGACTTGAGTTACTTTTCAATCCGTGGTGATTAAAAAATAACAGGCGCCGATTTATAATCGACAAATTCCGAAAATGACGCGTAACATATATAAGTTCGGTCTGAAAATTAGTGTGCTTATAAAGAGGGTGTGACTGTATCGAGGGCAGACTGTATAATTAATTTATTAATTAATTACACATAAGTTATTCTTTAATCGGTGGAGATTGTAATTAATATGTGTACCAACTAATTTTGTGATTAACACAAGACATGTATAATTCTTCTGTCGTATAATATAAGGAACTTTGAAGGTATTAACATCCCATTTGAATGCTGGGTTTCTAGAAGCATGGTTTTTAGCATAATTAGACGTTTATTATAGCGATTCTCTCTTTTCTTGTTGAAGAATCCCTAATATTATATTTTTGCAATTATATAATGTCGTGAATATAATTAAAATGAAACGAGGGTTTCAATTTAGCCCTCTAAAAGTCGCTTATACTTGTTTATCATAAACTCTACCCTAAAACTAACCTCTAACCCTAACCTTAATCCTAAAAAAAATGCATCTCAAAAATTTTTATTTTCAGTGCTTCCCTATTTTTTACATTGTACACTATTTCATTTTAACCCGATTTCATTTAATCCGTCACAAATAATATTTAAAAAAAGTGTCATTAACAAATACGAAATTATTATCATCAGTAGTCTATTACATGATTTGTATTATGAATTCTCCTGAGTCATTTCAATCAGTTAAAATTGAAAAATGACATGTCAATAGATAACTGACATAAATTGAAAATGACGATATCAAATACATAAATTGTTAAGACCTTACTCTGCAGATTGATTAAAATGCATGATGATATTCAATCGATTTATTTAAAATTTATGACGCTCAATATGTAATTGAATAATCGGAATTTTTGGTTTAAAGATATTCATAAAGCTAACTTGAGCTATCGCTATAGTATTAATGTTTATAGTAATGATCGTGGGTTTGGATCGACGTTGTCAAACGAGAATCTGTCGGTAGTGTTACAAATCGAAAGTTGAAAAAATCGATTATTTGTTAGTTGACAACTAATCGATTGAATTTTTTAGATAACAAGTAATCGATTAACCAATTAATCAACCAATCGATTAATGCCCATTGATTGAAAAATTATTTAATTCTTTAAGCGCTTAATCGATCAATCGATTAATTATAACTTACAATTAATCGAAAAATCGATTAATCGATTAATTGCAACTTAACAATTAATCGATTAATCGATTAGTTGCAATTAGTTGTTCAACTGAAAAAATAGTTACTCAACTAATCGATCGAAAAAATTTGAAGATTTGTAACACCATCTAGGGTTCATGTCATTTGCCCGACAACTATTTTCCCAATAATATTTTCAAAAAATATTGTTTGGAAATGGTTGTCGGGCAAATAACATAAACCCGTGTTAGATTATGTGGCTTCAATACTTTATTATTTAGGTAAAGCAGAAGCTATCCTTCCTGAAGGGCCAATAAGGCCTTTATTTATAATTATTTACTATCTATTATTACGTGATATAATAGGCCTTATAGCCAGAATTACTCTTATTGCTATGATTATTATTATCCGCCATATTTCCTCTTTCCGCCCAATTAGATCTATTCGCCGAATCTGACGAATCTGACGAATCTGTCGAATTCTCAGAATTCGGCCGATAAACCCAAATTTGGAATTCCGCGGTCACGTGTCACGTGCCTGACACCAGGTCACGTTTTCGGTCACAACGTATCAGCGATTAGGTCGTGTAACTCAAAAATCCCAAATCGAAAGTAAGAGTCAATTGTACTACTGTAGTCAGTGATGTAATCTTGCATAAGCTAAAGTAAATACGTTAACGTTAAGGCTCGATTTGTAAGATCGAATCACATTTTGGATTTCTTGTATAAACCTGTTCCTAATAAACTGTGTCGTGCTGCCGGTTGTGTGTTGAAGAGGACGTTTATGAAAGGGAAGCTTGGTGAAATTATGAGTGTCGTAGAAGTACTATTATCAAGCGAGGGCGTAAATAAATAGACGCAAGCCATTGAGAAGAATTGTGTATTACTCTATACATCCATTAACTCCTATCAGTTTGTATTGGAATTATCATTATTTCTGATTACTGTACTGTAAAAATATTTCGTTACAGAACTTATTCTTTATAGGCACAACTTTTAGAAGATGCATCGCCTCTGTCATTGAACTTTTATAAGCAATGTCATGCCAACATTCTATAAATAAAATTAATCATCAGTACTTTAAACCTACTTATTCCTAACGAAACTTAGTGAAATACCATTCTAATAAAATATCAGCTCAATATATTTTATTCATCGGAGATTTCGGAATAAAATGAGTTATTTATTATATACGAATATGCTATATTCATTATAATTATGAATATTCATAATTATTTATTAAAGTATATTTTTTTAATTACTTAAATTGCATAAATTGCGGGGGTTTTTTTTTCTTTCTTTTTTTTTTTAGAGAATATAACTCTAAACATTCTGAATATTCGTTATTACAATAATTATGAATTTCAATTTAGTTGGATCAACGATCTGCATAATCTGAATCACTTCACCGTCATATTTCGCGGGACTCCTTTTATTGATAAATAATTTCCACCAAATACGACGAATATAAAGTGGCTATGTTGTATTAATGTACTCATGGGACTCAAAAATGCAGAATGTCGATCCAACTAAAACTGCGATACATTTGACAAAATAGGGTAAAATTTCTTCTATATTTCATTTGGCACGTGGGCGTGACAAATCATTTTATATGATGAATAACTAATATAATCAATTAGTTAATTCTTGTCACTCAAATGATTCGTCACTCTTATGTGTCAAATGGAAGGGTGCCTATAATTGACTTAATCCAACTTTTCCTAATCATTAATTCAAATCTATCGGAAACGAAATAAATACTGATGCTACTGTATCTTATTTGAAACAATACGTCATCTATTTCAACAAAATTAGATTCCCTGCAGTTTAATTCTGAAACCCCTAATTAAAGTACGTCGATATGGAGGCTATGGCAATATGATTTACGACATAAATTTTTATGTGTAATTAATTATTGCATATTTTTATTACCATAATCTAGTAATTATGAATTTATGATAACAGTATATCTAAAGTCAGGTTAGTATCAGAATGAACTTCTCGTGAGATAAAATTAACATTAAATTAAAATTTTGAATTTTGACCTTTAAACGTATCACGTTGCACATGACGTCGATCATCAACCCAATTTAAATACTGAAATAAGTAATATGTATGCGAAATACGCCACACATTGGCGTATAAAAGACAACAGGACAAATTGCGGATCCTAATTTTATTTATTTCCGCTTGTAATATAAACCAAGTGAATAATAATTTTAGAGACAACCATTTTTCAAAGTGAATTTTTCTCCTTAAAAAAAAGCATATTTTTCAAATTGTGAACAGATTATTATGTCTAGTGCAACAACTGACTGGCGACTTCTTCTCAGCGAGGACGAAAGGAAGATTAATGTTGGCAGGTTTTATAAAGTCTTAGAGCTCTTTAATCAACCTAGCGTTTATATATTTCAGATATCGAAACAGTTGGAAATTGATTTTCATAATTGTGCAAATTCCAAAGATGAATACAACCAGCTGATTGAAACAAAGTTACGAGAGTTAACTAACAAAATTCAACGAAGCGTTCAGATACAACAGCAACAACAAGCACAAGGGAATGCTGCGTCATCACAACAACCTCAAGTCGTTCAACAACAGCCGCAACAAGCACAAACTTTACTAGTTCAACGATTACAAAATTCACAGTCACAGCAATTACAACAACAAATTCTGACACAGACTCTTCAACAACAGCAGCAACTGGTTCCTTCTCGACAGCAGCAGCAGCAGGCACAAACCCAAAGGATTCTATTGCAACAACAACGTCCGGTCTTAGCGGCTGTTCAACAACAACAATCACAGCAACAACAGACACAAAGGAATGCTATATCATCACAGCAACCTCAAGTCGCTCAACAACAATCGCAACAAGTACAAACTTTAATACCTCAACAATTACTAAATTCACAATCACAAAAATTGCAGCAACAAATTCCGATACAGACTCTTCAACAACAGCAGCAACCGATTCCTTCTCCACAACAACAGCAAGCACAAACCCAAAGAATTCTATTACAACAACAGCAACGTCCAATCTTTGCGGCTATTCAACAACAGCAACAACAACAACAACAACAACTACAACCACAACAGACACAAGGGAATGCTACGCCATTGCAGCAACCTCAAGTCATTCACAATCAATCACAACAAACACAAACTCTACCTCAACGTTTACCAAATTCACAATCACAGCAATTGCAGCAACAAATTCTGATACAGACTCTTCAACAACAGCAACTAGCGGCTGCTCAGCAACTACGACTACAACAACAGACGCAAAAGAATGTTGCGCTATCGCAGCAACCTCAAGTCGCTCAACAACAATCGCAACTAGCACAAACCTTAGTATCTCAACTATTAACAAATTCACAATCACTGCAATTGCAGCAGCAACCGGTTCATTCTTTACAACAACAGCAGCAAGCACAAACCCAAAGATTCCTATTACAACAGCAACGCCTGGCTCTTACACAACAATTGTTGCAACAACAACCACTGCAACAACAGCAACCATTGCTTCAGCGACTGCAGCAGCAGATTATACAACAGCAAAAATATCAACAACTTAATGGTTTGTTGCAGCCACATCAGCAACAACAACTTAATGCTTTGTTGCAGCAGCAGCAGCAACAACAGCAACTTCTTCTTTCAAAAATTCCAATTATACCATTCATGCGCCCCAATAATTTCGGTGCTTGTAATATACCTTTTAAAAACAAATCTAAAACACAATCTCGGCCACCAGCAACGTTGACCGAGAAGGATAAGAAAGAAGCATTAGAAATGATAAGACAAATAGATGATAAGATTAGAAAAAAGAAAATTCAATATCACAAAATTAATCATTCAGAAGAAGACAAAAAACAAATAAGGATTAAATTACATATGTTGGCTCAGATGTACAAAAAAGTTGACGAAATATTACCGTACTTTTGGCATTATACAAAATCAAGTAAAGGAACACATCACCTATTGGGCATGAAATACATAATAGAAGATCAATTTAAAGCTCTATCCTTTGGAAAATATCTACTTAAATTGAACTTTGTTGAAAATTTATTCCAACAATTTCGTAAATATTTTGTTTTCGTGGGATGTCGTAAAAGAGGTGTTGAAGATACTTCTGGATTAATGAATTTTAATCTTTTTGTCACCCCACAACAACCTCAACAACCTCAACAACCTCAACCAAACGTAAACAGTCTTTTTATGCCACCAATAAATTCAATATTGCCGAACTCACTTGTTTTTCCTAATATGCCAAGTACTTATGGTAGCTTATTTATCCCCATAAAAAAGCATCAATCATCAGTTGACCAAAATGTACCACGGTCAAATAAGAGGCGGCGAACCAAATCCAATAGTATAGACAACACTGCTGATAGTACGCAAAATATTTCGACAGAAATATTGGCAAATATTATTGGTAATCAAAGCAATCCTATCTAATTTTAGATGATGTCAAACAAATATTTCAGCAGAAATATTGCAACTAATATCGCTAATCAAGCCGACCTTATCGTAATTCCACATGATACCAAACCAACTTCATCTGAAGCTCAAGAATCAAATAAGGGAGGTGACACTACTGAGGATTATCACACAGGCACACAACTACTTATAAATTGATGCGTAATGGTTCGATAATGGCACAAAGGTAAATGTTTGAAGGAAATTCTCCATGTAAAGAAAGTGAATATAGAACTATAATAGTATCTTTAATCAAAGCAAACAATAAGTAACGTATATTTCTTTAGAATCGGTATGAATTTTACCGATTAATTAAATAAAATATTCAATTATTTAAGATTTTAATTACCTTTGTTATCCTTGTTTTTTCTTCGATTAATTCCAACGGTTAATTTAGTGTGCAGTTTAAAATTTGTGCAATTTAAAATTTGTGCAATTTAAAATTTATGCCAATCTAGCATTTTTGCACAAGATTTTATATATGTACATCATTAGTGTTCCGAGCGAAATTATTTTAGAATGTTTTTTTTAGTAGGAATTAGTTTTACATTGTAAATCTGAAACTCACCAAAATTAGTTTTCATCGAATTTAATATAGGGTAAATAGACAATTATTTAGTCATTGAAGAGTCAACTATATTGGTCAGAATAGTTTTTTTACTGTCTTACCTGATTTTCCCAAAACATTAATATGCACCATTTGATTATATGCGCTATGCTGTTCAATAGTTGAGGAGATTCACCATATCTATTGTACATTAATTCGTAACTATTTCAATAGGAGGTTTCAGAGTTAACTTATTTTGAAAATAAGTGGGAGTTTTGAAAAGTCCTATTTTTGGTTTGACATTTCGAAATCAGAAAATGAAATAGGAGTTATCTGGCGATAACTTTTTTTGGTGACGATATGTATAAGATATTGGGCGTACGATGAAAAATAACAAGGAATTTTTTTTCATCGGAATTAATGTCACTCCCATGT